TAGCTTGTAGGGGCCTAATTAATGGGGGAGGTAAATAATTACTTGAGCTACAAAGCTGCTTATGAAATGTGCCTTTAGGAAGGAAGCAAATCCTGCAGCAGATCAATCTTCAGTCCTTGGAGCTGGGCTAGTGGGAAATGCCAGCATCTGTGGCTGTGGTGCAGAAACTTGCTGGAAAAAGGGCTTTTCCTCACCACCAGCATTCACAATGCTCTTTTAAGACCCTAGTTTTTTCTTACCCATCTCTTGTCAAACCAGACCTGTTGCCTGCTTTTTGTTAGTAGTTTGAAGTTGTCAGTGCTGATAGCTGTGAGCCCAACTCATGACATAACCCCAGCACTCCTGCTGCTTCTTGCAGTTTGGATGCTCCCTTGCCTATCCTGCCTCGCTTTCTCTGCATCTAGTGTTAATAGCAACATCCTAGGGAGAAAGCCTGTGTTGCTTCAGTGCCCTATGGGGAAACTGAGGCATGAGAGTGCTCATATTTGTGCTCAGTTGAGCAGCTTCTGCTGAAGGCAGAAACAAGGCAGTAGAGTCTGCATGCAACAGTGGTTGCTGACAGCCTGTCTGCCTCAGCAAGCCCCTGGGAGAACAGGCTCAGCTCATTGCTGGATGCAGGCTGCTGTGAGATCCTCTGCACTTCTGTCTGCTCCCACTGCTCTCTGGCTGCTGCTGGGTCAAGGTAACTGCATTCTCCATTTAATGTCAGAAACCTGTTCCTGCAAATGCATAATTTGCAGGAACAATAACAATGAGATACAGTCCACGTGTATCAGCACGTGCTTTGAAGGTCTGTGGTGTTTTAACAATATGTGCAATTGCCTTCAGTGAAAGATTTTTGTTTGGAAATCCAGCATTTGCTTGTTTTGAGTTGTTTTGCTTTGCTTCATTTTTGCCACCAGCCCAGACTCATTATGCAGTCTCTGGATGCTTCTGCTCTGGAGGAAGCCAGACTAAGTCGCCTAATTTGCCCAGTTGCAGGTTGCCTTGACATTCTTCTTCCAGGTCTTACTCTCAGCTTGGGACCTTATGAGCAGTTCCTACTTGTAACCAGTCCTTCCTCCTTGCTCTTGCTCTCCAATCCAAAATTCTGTAAGTCTGTTTCTAATTCATGGGTGATTCACCAGATATATCTGAACATGCACTGTTAGGGTTTGTTATGATGTCAGACAGTGAACAGATAACCACAGCTGCTCTTGGCATTGTAAAATATATCTAGTTCTATAAGCAGAGGGACCACTGTTTTTTCTTTCCCTACACAGCTACATTTTCCAAATGCAGACAGGAGAGAACAGCAGACTCAAAGGCAAATCTTGGTGCGCTGTGCCACTGGGCAGCGTTAGCGCAGAATCCAGTGAGCAAAATGCACAGGAGGAACCATGTCCATCTCTGCCACAAAAGCCCTTCCCAAAGAGCTGCTGGGCCAAATCCTGTGCTCCCAGCCTGGATGAAAACAATAGAAGGAAGCTCTAAGGAGAGAAGTGCTTCCTCCGAGCTCCCTGGATGCACCATGCTGCAGAGAGCATGTCCAAGCCCACCCAAATGGCTGCTCCTTCCCTGGGCTGGAGTTTGGTGACAGTGGCACCCAGGCTCTTAGGGATGTCAGCGCTCACAATTTGCAGGTCACAGTGACTTACAGACCTGATTTGGGCAGGATTGGCTCGAAATCCTGTAGCAGCAGGAATCAGTCATCCCATCAGCTGCAGCACACAGCAGCCAGCTCACTGCAAAGGGCTGCAGCTCCGCTTATACCTGTGCCTTTCTCACATCGCTTCTCTGATTCCCTTTGCCATTCCAGCTGTTCCATACCATCTGTATGATCTCTGTCCAGACTACTAATGAGTGCCTTGTTAGAGCAATAATTGGCTTCTTATTTAGAAGACTCATAACAATTACGGCGGAAGTACATTATCAGCCATAGGGCATCATCTATTTTAAACTGCCGTACGCAGGGACCACGGTTTATGTGCTTTGATGTGATTTCTATTTCTTTTGTCAAAGCAATTATGTGCATTTGACTGTATACTGCTATTGTTGAAGCCTTTTATGCAAGAGTTAGCTGTACACAGAGCGATTTATAAATGGCAACTCAGAGAACAGGCAGCAGCACAATGGGACCAGCAAGTGGGCTTAACCAGAAAGGGAACAGAATACAGGAAATTCAATGTGCTCCTAGGAAATTATCTGCTTTCACTCTCATGATGGATTACGTTGTCAAGCAGTTGTATAATATTCAAGGAAATATCAATAACTCGCTGAGATTCTGTACTCCAAATGCCAGCAGTTCGACTTTGCAGCGTGCTGATGGAGTGCACGGCTGGGTGATAACCAAGCTGGGGGTTTGAGAAATGCATGGGGTCAGGAATGATTTTCTGCTGCTCCCTGCATGGATCATTGCTTTCTGCAGTTATTTCAGTAGGTAACAGGAGCTCTGGCTTTGTAAACTCATGCAAAGTGTTTCTATGAACTCATCTCCACCTGAATAACCCGGATGGTGCATGGTGCACGGGATGGTGCCATCAGCTCTCTTCTCTAACTCACTTGGTTAACAAAGCATCAGGAGCATTACAAACATTGACAGTTGTATCAAAGCAGAGCCACACCTGCTTTTGAAAAGGATGTGGGAAGGAGAGGATGGCCTTTCTGGGACATTTTTCTTCTTTAACTACAGTACACATGGTTTCCCAAAGTATTAGAAGATCGGCATGCTTTAGGTTTTGACTACTGAGATAAAAACTTACAGAAGTTACCTGATGGGAAGTGGCAAGCATCAAATTTCTGGCAAGTTGGCAGCATGCGTGTCTAAAGAGGAAATGCCCCAAATGTGAGGGCTGCTCTGAAAGTAATGCCTCCTATTTTATGATGTTGGCCCATGACATAAAAGGTGAGTGTTGCTGGTGTGGAAGTAGAGTCCTAGCCTTTCCCACCAATATTCCGTTCTGTTTTGTTGCTGTGTGGCAAATGGCAGCAGAGGGGCAGTCTGACACTATGGTGTCTGACACAGATGTGCAAAGGAATGCCACTGATGCAGAAAAAATGGAACCCATTGACATCGGCTGACATTGCCAAGTGAAAGACAAGCCGTGTTCTGGATGACCATGCAGATTTTTATGAGTGCAGTATGCAGGATCTTGTTCATTGCTGGTGGATATGCATAGCGAATGATGGTGATTATGTTGAAAAATAGTATTTTGTAGTCAAGAATTTGTTCTATCAAATAGTATTGTGGTTCCCTTTTATCTGCTGTAGTTACCATGGAAACAAATAGGAGGCATTACTTTTGGAGCAACCCAGGTAATTACTGAATCTGAAATTTTAGAATCCAGAACAAAAATTGCTTCGGGTTACATCTTCTGAGAGCAGTGTCTTTAGCTATTTTTCTTCCAATTCGCTTGTCTCATCCATGTACATCTTTAGATCAAAATTTAATGGTATTTACAGAACCTGCAACAAATTTTATTCCTACACAAGGAAGAACAAAGAACGAAGCTGACCTTTCAGTTAGGTGATGTTTCTTTGGTTTGCTGTCATCGCTGTCGCCATGACTTTGCTGCTCCTTGTGTTTTCTGTGCAAGGACACACACCTGGACAGCAGGAGCTCTGCACTTGCCAGTTTTTGCACACCTAGGACAATCTTCTGCAGTGGGTCCAACATCCTCCATAGGCATTGGACTCCTGGTGTGTACTTTTACAGCAAAGCATTCTGGTTTCCTGGGAGACAAACATCAGCCCAAATCAGACAGTATCTCCCACTGGCAGGAGGGCAGGACATGAGTTGTCGGGGCTTATTCCAATCACCCCAGACAATCACAGCTGGGTTAAAACATCAGTTTGCAGGCATTTCAATTTCCACCAGAAAAAAACAATTGGCCTGAAGGGAAATTTTTGGGTGGGTCTTGTTTTGGACTCTGGGTGACACGGATGATTTACTGCCATCTACCTGGACAGTACTAGAAAGGGGCTCAGGGCTGAATGGGACCATCAGCTACTGCTGTGTGACACTCCAATAAAATTAATGTGGGGAAATAATTAATTTTCAAAGCTTTGGCTCACCAGTGAACCTCCCACTTGCAGTCCAGAACAAAATGAATATCAGTTTCCTGTTTTCTTTTGTAAAACCTGTTTTAAGCCTCCAGTTCCCTTCTAATTTCTCAGAATCATTCAAACTTCATTACCTTCCTCATGGCACTGGGAACTGGAATTTCTCCATGCTTACTGCAATGCCAATTACCAATGCACATCCCCCTAGAAGTACCAACTGCATTCCCCTGAAAGCACCATTACTAGGAGCTGCTCATTTTGAATGAAGAAATGCTATATTAAAGGTAATTAAATTAAAATGGAACTTAATGTATAGAACTAGTGGTAGGAGAGATGAAGAATGGGTGCCTTAATTATATCTGATGGAGCATTTGGCAGCACATCCAAACTTTCACTTTTTCACTTGCTTAATATACTCCTGCCCAGTTTACAGCATAGGAAGCAGAATGTTGATTAGTTTCAGTGTATTTCAGCAAGCTTACGAGTGCAATTTGTGCATGTGGTTTTGATCTTGTTTTTCCTAAGAAAAGAGATTCTGACAGAAGAATTTTTTGTGTCCTCCTGGGAGCTAGGTTCTGCACAGACAAAGTATGAGAGGTAACGGCCTTAAGTTGCACCAGGGAGGCACAGGTTGGATATCAGGAAACATTTCTTCTCAGAAAGAGTGGTAATGTGTTGGCACAGGCTGGCCAGGGAGGTGGTGGAGTCATCATCACTGCAGCTGTTCAAGAAGAAGGTTGATGTCATACTGAGTGACATGGCTTAGTGGGTATAGGGGGAACTTGTATCTCATGACCTGAACTGATGATTGAGCACCTGGTGACTGGCCCAGGAAGCACAGGTGCAAGCAATTCACCCACTTGACTGGAAGGAGTGGACACAGGATCCACCCCTCTCTGGGCTCACTCAAGGGCTTGCCTCAAGAGAGAGAACTTCTCCTGGGTGAAGATCACTTTCTGAGATGGAGTGTTCTATAAACAGGGACCCTCATGGCTAGTTGGGTGAGTCAATTTTTTATTTTTTTTTCCCCCCTGTATGTGATTGTTGGTAATTCTAATGGTGCTTTACTTTGTATTGCAAAGAACGTAGTTAGAAACAATCTCACTGCTTCCAAAGACCAACGGTGAGCATGGTGGGGATGGGTTTGTAGTTTGACTAGATGATCTTAGTGGTCTTTTCCAGCCTTAATGATTCTATGATTCTTAGAACTTGGCTCTTTTCTTTTCCCTGATTTAACATTCCCCCTGGGTATTGATTGTATACCTGGAAGAGACATTCCTATGTTAAGATCTCTTTGGCCAGGGAAGAGGATTTTTCTAGTCAAAAGGAAAAACAACTGCAGGTAACTTCATCTACACTCCTTTTGAGAGTTTTTTGCCTGGTCCAACAGCAGATGAAGCTGCTTACCAAGATTTGGAGGAGGTAAAGCAGTTCTTGCTCAATGGGGATGGGCTCCAGGCAGGACCAGGGTGTGGAACCTTGGACCAGAGTGCCTAGCATCCAGCTCTGGGGTATCTGGTAATGCTTGGGATGCTGTCTTTAGTGCATCTCCCCAAAAGCAGCCTGATGAGGAGGTGTTTTCAGGGCTGGTTCTGGCAGAAGGAACCATGCACACCCAGTGTGCCTTGGCAGAATCCAGACAGGGTAGGATTCAGGAGTTTCCCAGTATTTGTACCACTTGTAACTATTCACAAATCAAAAGCCTTTTTGTAGGAAACAATGTTCTCCCCTCTGGGTCTTCAATTACTCTCCAATAATTTTCTCTACTCCCAGTGGTTAGGGGAAAAGACTTTGAAAGTGTTTCTGCTCTTTCCTCTTCCACTTGGATCTCATGAAATCTCAAAGCACACAAGATTCCTCTCTGCTTCATTGCAAACAGCTTTACAACCTTGTGCATGTCCCACCCCAGCTAGTTATTTCTGGCAAGGCATTTCTGTTGTCTTTGCATGGTCCTCCAGAGGAGTTGTCCTGCTGAGTGTGGTGCCAGGGTGCTGCTGTGTAACGAGATGAAACACGTTTGGCCACTCATCTCCCTATTTCTATGCTTTTGGGAAGATGAGGACACAGTTGCTGGACCACAACAGGACAATCACATAGTATCCATATGGGAAAGCATTGATGGTGGAAGTACCTTGTAGACCTCTGCATCTCCATGGAGTGCCCACCACCTACCTGAGGCTGGGGAGTATGCGTGTGTTGTTAAGGCTGCATTTAGTTATTCATTTACTCCAAATTTCATTTTTTCTGCTTTCCTGTATTAGAAGACAGAAAAAATGGTCTCTTTGCACCAGCTGTGAAAATTGTTGTCTTACTATCCAGTGACTTAGCAAATAAGACTGTTAGAGTAACTTGTCCTCCTGGCATGAGTAGTTATCAAGTTACTATAAAACAGCACTGCTGTTGCTGTCTCCTGGGGATCCCCAGCCTCTGTAGGCATGGTAATGACATGTTCCTTTTGCTTGCCTCTGGCACAGCATAGCATCCTCTGAACACCCTATTACTTCGGTGTTCCCTCAGGGAAGAAGGCAGCAGCTGTTCATCTCAGCTTGCCCAGGGAGCCTCCATGCTCCCAGGTGAGCTACTGAGGCCTAATAAATAAGATAGCAGCCCCCAGGGTCCTTATTTCATTTAATTCCTCTGCTCCATTCTCTGATTTTGCTCCTTTTTCCTCTCCAGCCCTCGTAAAATTGTAGAATATCCCAAGTTGGAAGGGATCCTTAAGGATCATCAAGTCCCACTCCTGGGTCTACACAGCATCATCCAAAAATCAGACCATATGATCAGAGCATTGTCCAAACTCTCTTTAAACTCTGGCAGCTCAGGGCTGTGCCCACTATCTTGGGCAGCCTGTTCTGTGCCCACAGTGACCTGACAGGATTGCAAACTCCTGTTCACAGCACAGACTGTTCAAATAGGTGCTGCAGGGTTCCATTTTTCTGTAACAGAGATCCAGCGAGGACTTCCTAATGTCTTGAAGATCACTTATTTTCCTTATGAGGAAAGGCATGTTGTGCTTTCTGTAAGTATGTTGAGATCCCTCATGAAAGGAGGTAGACTTCTTCTTGCTGATATTCTTAATAAACAGGAACTTTCTTACGTGCTCAAATTCACGACAGTGTGTGCTAGTTCATTCTCCTGCCAACATGACCTGACCAGTTATACACCTTTCCTCTTTCCCACCTATTTTACACATATACAGGTAGCTATACCAGCAGCCCATTTTTCCAGGCTGATCAAGCCCATCTCCTTCCATTTCCTTTTGATGAATGCCTCCCAGCTTGTCCAGTTATCCTAGTAAGCTTCAATGATCCCCTCTGGCTGAGCTGGCCTTTCACTTGACCATTTGCCATTACTGCTGGGGCAACTTGCAGATGAGGGATACCAATAATCATTTATAATACTTGTGCCACAGAGACCTTTCCCAATCCAAGGAATTGAATACCTGCCTCATCCTGGCCCTGAAATTGTTTGTCATTTCCCAGCTGCATTATGCTGATCACTGTCCCATCACCTGGAACTTCTCAGTCATTTCCAGGTGATAAGCCATATGTTTATATCATAACGCTGTGTGGATATTTAGTTCCCCTAAAAAAAATTACATTGCATTTTGTACCAGTGAATTTCTTCTCTTTCCTCATATTGCAGTCCTCAGAATCGTGTGCTGATTCTGCTGGTATTTCACTCCACCTCTGTACTGACACTGCCTCTAAATTATGCCATTAGCAGATTTTGTCAGATATTTTTTGCGCCTAAGTAATTAATAAAAATGTTAGTCTCAAGGCTGATTCTTGAGGAAATCTGTTAGTAATTTCCCTCCAGCCTGATCCTCACCCTTGCAGTAGTATGTGTTTCCATCTCCACACCTACTCTGCAGTTCATCCATCTTCCACTCTCCCCATCTGAGCTGATCTCCCAGATGGTGTTTAATCAAATACTTTCTTCAAGCCAGCATGGATGAGCTCCACTGCACATCTATGAAGTCAATTATGTCCCTGATCTTACTTTGAAATTTTCATAATGTTTGTTATATCATTTATCACCATTATACTCTTATTCCAAATCTGATCTGAAATTTCACCTGTTTTTATGGTCAGGCATAAGAGTCCGCCATTTCACTCCTCATTTTCTGTCTGCTTTGCGTTTCCTGTTCTCCCATTGAATGCAGGTTTCCAAGAGAAGGGTAGGTGTGGCACTGAGGGATGTGGTTAATGATGGGTCAGCTGTTGGACTTGGTGATCTTAGTGATCTTTTCCAACCTTTATGATTCCTGGAAGGGCATGTGGAACTCAGAAGGGTAGTGGGTCCTTCCAGCTGTGAGATGTGAAAACATTGAGTGCAATGTCTGCCTCCACTGCTGTGTTTCTGCTCTTGTTTCTTATCTCCTTTTGGCCCACAGACAAAATCACTGCTACCTTACTGACACCAAAGCTGGAGGCAAGCACTTGTTTTGCAGTTTTGTGTCCATGCTTCTCATTATCTTGCATGACTGGCAATTTTTGCTTTTACCATTTGACTTCACTATCAGCTCTTTATGTCACTCCTTGCTCTCTCTTTCTGCTCATTTTCATTGCTGTTCCTGAGGTGTCAGGAGCTCTTTTCCACATGTATTTCTCCTGTCTGGTGGGACAGATTGTTGTCTCTCCTGCGCACAGGGCAAGGAGAACTTTCACCACATCCACGGGAAGGAATTCTTTCCACCTTTAATATACCAAAATGTGTTCTTGGAATAGTGCGGTCTTCTCTTGGTCTACCTTTCCATTTCATTTGATTGACCTATATTTAGAGGTGTTCAACACACTGTTTAAGTTTCTATATTATCAATGCCATCATATTCTTCCTTCGTTTCTTCCCTGTTTCTGTGCCACATTTCTGATTACGGTGTAACAGCTTCAGATAATACCTCAATGCTATAAGGAATCTCACTCCTAGAGGATAAAATCTTATAATACCTTATCTTTTCTAGTTAATGTCTTGTAAAGGTAATTGAAACCAGGTTTTCTAACTTATATATTTAAATTTTTATGCTTTCATCTTAGGAGAAATACAAAATCTAGCTATAAGAAGTTATTTCTCAAAGCCCGACGTTTTCAGCATTGATTTCCAATAACCCTATGTATCCACAATAACTTCAGAGATATATCTATGTGTCTGGGTCGTCTTCCTTGGAGGAAGCGAGAAAGAAATGGGTGTCGATTCTTCAAATTTTGTTTAGATTTTGTTTAGCCTCTTTCTCTTTTAGTATGCTGAGATATTTGAGCAGTACTTCAAATACATGATGCCCCTTTGAGAAAGGCGAGAACTTGGATCTGTTTTTATTGATCAGGTGGATCCTGATGCCCATTTGAGCATCGCACTGTTCCAACAGAAACTGTCCTGGTTGCAACTCAGCAGTAATTTGCAGTGGTCATCCAGAACTGCCTCCAGCTTTTCCTTTACGATTCCTTAATTCCAGTTTAATGTAGGATTATCCCACTGATGTCATTTTCCTTTGCAAAAGAAGTTGCAGAGACAGTGGATTGTATTGGAGCGGTGACTGTTTGTCCAGAAAAATAGTGGTTGTTAAATCAACACTGCAGGATGAGATGGGACTCGGGTCACTAATTAAGATGCTGATATTCAAGTGTCTACGTGTCAGCACTTTATGAGCACTGTGTCTGAACTCCCATTATGGTCAACAGACCCTGGAAAGCTTTTTGTCTCCCACTATGGTGGACATCCAGGTGGGATTTGGGACACTACCAGAGATACCTAGAGGTTTTGGCAGTGCCTGGTCTCCAGTGAGAGGTGGAACTTTCATGTAAATCTGCACCATTCGAATCTCACAAAAGACGGCACCAGGTGCTTGTATAAAACAGCTGAAATCCTTCTGTACCTGTGTTCAGCTGAATATCCCCTGAAAACCTCCCAGATGTGAAGGTCTTTGATTTGCACTATGAATGGACCAGCAGCGCATTGCATCTGGAGCTTAGCGTGAAGTTTCTGGTGGCACGTGTTGATTTTG